AGAGAGAGAGAGAGAGAGAGAGAGAGAGAGAGAGAGAGAGAGAGAGAACAAGCACAGACCCTGCTCTTGCTCTGTGCTGACCCTGCTAACAGCAGAGTCTCATTGGCCAGATTCCTCATCTTTTCAGTGGTAACTGAACAACAAGCTAAGAGCTGAGTCAGAGTCACAGTTGTCTGTGGTAACAATGTCATGCGTGTTCCTCTTGTCAGTGATGACTGACAGAACGGAGTGAAATCAACTGACACTGTTTAAAGATAAAATAAAAAGAGACAGAGAGACAAAGGCTGAGCTAAGGCAGACCCTCACCTCACATTCCAGGCGAAATTTAATCCAAAATATATCAAAGACCTAAAACTGGAATTAGGGGTCTGTGGATAGAGTGCGTCCTGTGCCCCGTATGAGAACCTGAGTTCAGATCCCCAGCTATGGGGGCTACAGAGGTGTCTAAACAGTTAGGACTGGCTGCTCTTACAGAGGACCTGCATTCACTCCCCAGCACCTACATGGTGGCTCACAACCATCCGTAACTGTGGTTTTGACCCTGTGGGCAGGAAGCACGCATACAACTCACACATGTATACAAGCAAAACATTCACACATAAAATGAATGAATCTAAGAATACACACACAAATATGCACATGGGCAAAGGAGGAACTTAGAAACAATTTGGTCTCGGCTACTGAGATATAAAAGTCATCCATGTAACAGTCTGAGAGGAAGCCACAGAGCATCTACTTACCCCACAGAAATGATCAGGGCAGTGATAAGGAGTAGTGAATGCTGAGGACTCGTCTGAAGGAAGTCGTGTGGGTTTGTATACGTGTGGTCCTCACAGACTCATGTGTCTGAATGCCTGGTCCATAGAGAGGGCAACATTAGGAGGTGTGGCCTTCTAGAAGGAAGTGTGTAGCTGTGGAGGCAGACTTTTAAGGCCCTATGCTCAAGCTATGCCCAGTGTGGGCACACAGTCTCCTGCTGTCTGCCAATCAAGATGGAGAACGCTCAGCTCCTTCTCTAGGACCACACCTGTTTGCATGCTGCCATGTTTCCTACCATGATGATAACAGACTAAATCTCTGACCTGTAATCCATCCCCAGTTAAATGTTTTCCTTTATAAGAGTTGCCTTGGTCATGTGTGAGGCAATCCTCCCAAGTGCTGGGATTATACGTCGTCCATCATCACGAAGCTTGAACTACTAACGTCCTGTCCATTTCCACCTTTCTCATCTCCGTCCCAGTTAATACGACTACAGCCATTCTTTGTACACATTTGGTTTTGTTTTGTTTTGTTTCCTTGAAATTATAAGTTTCCCTTATATAATCCAAGACAAATCCATTTGCCTCTGGAATCGTGATATACCGGATTCTAATCACTTCACACATTTGCTACGTAAGTCAAAAGCACTATACAAAGCTGGGCATGGTGACTCGTGCCTGTATCCCCAGCACCTGGGAGGCTGAGGCAGAAGAGTGGCTGTGAGTATGGGGACATCTTGGACTCTGTCTCACACACATACGCCTCCACTAACCCCTGTGGTAGCCTCCTCATCACCTCTCCTCTTCTAGTCTTACTGACTTTCTTCTCCCTCTCAAACACAGCACTAGAATTAAAAGGAAGGGCTGGGAGCTCACTGTGACCGCCACACCAGGTTCACCTGTCTGGCATGTGGGAGGCCCTCAGTTCAGTCTCCAAGTTTAAAAAAAAAAACCAAAATGTTCTCAAAGAAGGACTTAATATTTATCTTGAGGAAGATTCACTCAGAACTAAAGGGATGACTGAGTCTAAAGCAAAGCAAGATCCGCAGTGCCAACAATGAGCTCATAGACAAAGCCATAAGGCCTGAAGATTCACATGACACGTGTTTATTGGAAAAATAAATGAAGAGGGAAGAGATAAGGGAGATCAGATAAGTTTACAAATGATTAACTGCAGAAGTCTTTGAGATGTGTGTGTGGCTGGCTACACAGAAGGCGGTTGTTCACATATCCCAAGTGAGCATGCTAACTCAGAAAGGCTAGGAATACCATTATGCTAATTACAGGGAGGAGGAAAATTAGATAAGGCCAGTATTATGCGCCTGTGGGCCCGGCGAGGTATAAAAGGGCAGCTGAACACACACGGGTCTGGACTGAAGATAGGGATCCGCCATGCACCGGTGCACTGACAACTCAGGCTAAGGCACAAGTTCAGGAAGTTCCCCAGGTAGGTCACCCAGGAAATAACCAGGCCACTATTTACATAGCACTTAGTTAACGTGGTAAGCAGTAGATACAAGAATATCATCTTATAATGGTGAAGTGCTTTCCCCAGTATTGTGGGGCATTTGAAACTTTAACAGCAAAGAGACAAAAAGCAAAGAGATTAAAGGAGAAAAAGGACCACAGGATGCTGG